GAAGAGGCCTGGAAGAAGGTGATGTGGTCAGATGAGACCAAAATAGAACTTTTTGGCCTCAACTCGTCGTGTTTGGAGGACAAAGAACACCGAGTACAACCCAAAGAACACCATCCCCACCGTCAAGCATGGTGGTGGCAACATCATGCTTTGGGGGTGCTTTTCAGCCAAGGGGACGGGACAACTCCATCGTATTGAGGGGAGGATGGACGGGGCCATGTATCGTGGAATTCTGGACCAACATCTCCTTCCCTCAGTGAGAGAGCTGAAGATGGGTCGAGGATGGGTGTTTCAGCACGACAACGACCCTAAGCACACCACCAAAGCAACAAAAGAGTGGCTGAAGAAGAAGCACATCAAGGTTCTGGAGTGGCCTAGCCAGTCTCCAGACCTGAATCCAATTGAAAATCTTTGGAGGGAGCTTAAAATTCGAGTTGCCAGGCGACAACCTCGGAACCTGAATGATTTGGAGGCTGTCTGCAGGGAGGAGTGGGCCAACATCCCTGCCGAAATGTGCACAAACCTTGTCACCAACTATAAAAACCGTTTAACATCTGTGCTGGCCAATAATGGCTTTTCTACAAAATATTAACATGCTGTTTGTCCAGGGGGTCAAATACTTGTTTTTCCTCATCAGATGGTTATCAATTTTTATAAATTTATATGTGATTTTCTGGAATTTTCTTTGGGATTCTGTCTTTCACTGTAAGAATGTACATATGATTAAAATTATAGATCGTTGCATTCTTTGTAAGTGGGCAAACCTGCAAAATCAGCAAGGGGTCAAATACTTATTTCCCCCACTGTGTGTGTGTGTGTGTGTGTATGTATGTATGTATGTATGTATGTGTATATATATGTATGTATATATATATATATATTCATTCTCAGATGACACATCACTTGTGATAAATAAATATATTGAAGTGTAGAAATTAACTGCCTGGTTGTTTTTATTTAATATTTTAAATACAGCTAAATGTTTCTAGAGCAGCAACATTAATGTTTACAACAGCAAAGTAACTCAATAACTTGATCTGACATCACAAGTAGTGAGTGATGTTTAGAAAGAATAACATCAGTCCCTCCTCGTCTCTCGCTGGCTGCAGGTAACGTTACCAGGTAGAAGGAGGAGCGGCTGGTTTGTCTCAGCCAGCAGCTGAGTTTTTAAGACTACAGACCAGTCTATGCTCCAGACAGACAGCTTTCTATTGAGCTTGATTTTAACATTTGGCTAATGCCGAGCTAGCGTTAGCTGTGCTTGTATAAAACATACAGGATGAGATACTGAGGACAGAGATGATTAAATTAGCCATTTCTACATGTTTAACGTTACCTTACAGACAGGTTTATTGATAAAGTATTGACTTTTTACTTGCGAAGGTTTTATTGCACGTACTTACAGTAACGAGCGTAGCTGTCATCAGCTAACGTTACAGTAGTTTGGAGCTAACTTAATCCTCACCGTATTCCACCGCGACGGCGCCGCCTCTCGCTCTGCTGCCGCTGTGTGTGTGTGTGGGAGCTGACAGAGAGCAGGCAGAGACTGCGGCCTGATGATTTTCTTTTTCTGCGTTTCAAATTAAATCAGATTTGACGCCCGAGACATAACATTACATCATTGGACCTGCAAGTCTCGATAGCAGTATCGATAAGCTCGAACCTTATTGATTTTCGTGTTTTGAGAAATTTCGATCCCCATCCCTAGTAATTGGCTCCTAACACCAGCAGCTTTCACGCTGCCTTATTTCACAGAGGTATTGCACCAATCTGCTGGCCCGCTGCATTTTATGAAATGTCTGGAGAAGAATTTATTTGTCTCCGAGCAGGGAAAGTTGGTGGCAGAGACAGAAAGATCCGTTTGTAAAAAGCCACAGCCGACATGCCGCAAGGTGTGCAGCCTGTCGCATGCAGCTCTTTATCTAACAGCTCACTTTGTCTGCTCCTGACTGATACTCACTGCAATATTTCAAACTGGTCTGCTGTCAGAAAACTGTTAAATGACGGTTGTCTTGTTGTGTAGATGCATTTTTGATGAATAAGAGCGGTCAGCGCTAATCTCACTTACAGATTGCATTTCCTGTGACTACTTCAAAATAAAAGTCAACTTGTGTTAAATGCCGGTTTAATGCTTTTAATGTGAAGCTGCAGTTGCAGGAAGTGTTCAGTTTGCATTAGACGTAAAGTAATACAGCATAATAAAGCTGTTGTTCACATGCCAAAAATGTTCAAACGTTTTTCCTCGCACTTATTTTTGCTCAGTATTGAAAATTTAGTACAATTCTTAAGTAAAAGTAAAAATGCAGATTGTTTTAAAACTACACAATTATAGTAACAGGAGTAATTGTAATTTGTTACTTCCCACCTCTGTCATTTATTTAGTATGTAGTACATACTGAGTGTGTATGTAAGACAGTACATACTCACTGTGCGGTACAGTAGGTTAGTATGTGATTTCAAAGATGTGCTCTGATGTCCTTTATGGTTTTAGATAGCTCGCTCCACCATGACATCTCACTGTGTTTCTGTTTCTGTTGATATAGACAAGGAGAAGAAGACAGGGACTCAAACGCAAATCACAACACAAATCTGGATATTTAAAGACTCATCAGAGTGTTCACACTGGAGAGAAACCGTACAGCTGTGACCAGTGTGGGAAAACTTTTGCTCAATCAGGTACCCTAAGAAGGCACCAATATGTTCACACTGGAGAGAAACCTCACAGGTGTGAACAGTGTGGAAAAACCTTTGCTCTATTAGGAGACCTAAAAAAGCACCAACGTGTTCACACTGGCGAGAAACCGTACTGGTGTGAAGAGTGTGGAAACACTTTCACTCAGTCAAGGTGCCCTAAGAAGACACCAACGTGTTCACACCGGAGAGAAACCTCACTGGTGTGAACAGTGTGGACTAACTTTCGCTCGATTAGGAACCCTAAGAAGACACAAACGTATTCACACTGGAGAGAAACCGTACTGGTGTGAACAGTGTGGAAAAATGTTTGCTCGATCAGTTACACTAAAAATCCACCAACGTGTTCACATTGGAGAGAAACCTCACCGGTGTGAACAGTGTGGAATAACTTTCGCTCGATTAGGAACCCTAAGAAGACACCAACGTGTTCACACTGGAGAGAAACCGTACAGCTCTGATCAATGTGGCAAATCTTATACCAACAGGAGAAATCTTCGAAGACACAAATGCATCCACAAAGCATCAGTGTGACATTTTTCACAGAGCCGAGCTAGCGGTTTCCTGCTGCCCTGAATACAACCACCTGTTATCATGTGACTGTGCTGGACTAACGTCATGTGATGACAGCTGCAGAAGTTTGATTTGGAAAGAGCTGGAAAGAGTCATGCGGCATTCACATCAAATGCAAGTTTAATCCATGCAACGCTTTCATCGCAGGGGTTTTATTGCTGGACAGCTGCCAAGTGTTCACACACAACGTGATAACGCAAATAATCACAACTCGCCGTTACTACAGCTGTATGAACCCAAAGTAAACATTTTGCTGTGATTACATAGCAATAAACAGATCAAACTGACGCTGAAATAATTACAATATGATGCAAATTTTTTAAACCTATGAATTCATGCTTTATCAGGCTTGTCATTAAGACAGCAGGACAACTGCTTCAACTACTCTGCGTCGTGACTTTCTCGCTTGAGTAGAAAATATTCAACACACTGCCCCCAACGCTCACTTCGCTTTTGGTCTGAAAGCACCATCAGTCCGGATGTTTTATCAGCCAATAGCACAATTGAATTGCAGAAGCCAGGTTTCCACCAGTAAATGGCAGTGCAGTCACTGCATTTTTATAGCACTATATGTAGAATTAAAATAGTTTGAAGTAAAGTGTCACGATTTAGACCTGAATCCATCAACAACACCACCAAATACCCATTCACATGGGTTATCAGCAGAAATAAGAGGTTTGGGGGTTCACTCACTCTTTAAGAAGGCACTCAGCAGCCGTCTTTGCAACGCCTCCAGGCAGCTATTTCAGACTAACGAGATCAGGCTCCTATCTGACTGAGTGGGGAGAGAGCCAGAACTGCACTTTCTCTGTTCACTGGGACATAAAAACTACATGAATAGAATGAATAGAATCATCTGTAAAATCTAATAAAAATCACTAAAAAAGTTTGACAATGGCCAAATATAAGGTTTAAAAAGCTTTTTTCCTGATCGGTTATACTTCTACTATGCATGTGTCACTACTACCCTTACGTCAGTGGAACCACACGATGCCACCACAACTGAAATATGTTTCCCGCTTTGGCTGTGAAACGCAGGCAATTGGCTTTCCGGCGGGATAACTGCCATCTTTGCTGTTACGGTCTTTCCCCACAGAGTACACACTCATTCATTACAAATGTGTTCCCCATGGTCAAGAATGAACCTCCACCCTTGCTGAAATATTATTTCTGCGTGCTTCATATATTTTTGCTATTGAGCTGTAGTTAAACATATTTACATTAAATCTGTATTTTAGATATATTGACTTAATTTCTATTACTGAAAGTGGTTTTGTTCAGACTTAAACAAATATTTACCATTATAAAGACAAGCTTAAAACAGAGAATCAATCTCAACAATAAGAACAAGGATAATGGAAATGGTTGCACACTGCTGCTCTGCTGTTGGCTTCTGCTGGTGTCATTCGGACAATGCTTTAAAAACAAATATCCCTACGACACATCAAACAATAACAATCAAAATGTTCGGAAAAGAGGCAAATTATACTCTTAGTATACTACTGACTCTGATTGTATTATCCAGCGATGTACAACTGAACCCAGGCCTGTCAGCTGACTTTTCTCCGGAACAAACGCCAACAAGTGAACTAACCAAGGTGCGGCGAAGAGCAGCGGACCTGCTCGAGTGGACCATACTGCATGTTGCGATTGCCCAACAAAGCTTCAATCCACCTGTCAGCCCTGTTTTCCACCCGGAGGGGACACGAACTGTCGGAGTCTGAACAACCGTAGTTTCACAAGCGATCCAAGCTGCCAGAGCGGATGATAAGCGCAGCTAATGGAACATTAAAAGAACAATGTGAAAAAGGTATCCAAGCAGTACGAAAACAACATGAACTTAGGTTTTCCAGACTGTAAATTATGCAAAGGTGATATGGGACTCTGTATCCAAACCTAAGAGTGTCCTAGGTGGACATTTGAACATTCCGAGTATAATATCAAAAGGAGATCAAATTCAACATCTACTGACGGACTCTTTCTGACAAGAATCACACGAACGAGTAAAACCATTATTCATTTGATATTGACAAATAGACCTCAATGAATTACAAGGATACAATTTAATAACAGGCCTCTCTGACCATAATATGACCCCGATTGTCAGAAAACCAACAAACAATGTTTATGGATGTACATAAACTAGGGAATGTAGACATTCCCAAAAACCAAAAGCCACACTTTTATAATGAATTAAATAATATTGATTGGAACAACGTTTTACAAACTACAGACTTAGATTATAGTTGTAATATTATGATGAAAACACTCACAGGACTGATTAAGAAATATACACAAATGTTAAGTGCATACGAAGAAGAATCTCTTCACCCTGGCTGAATAATGATATTCGCCAGTTAATAGAAAAAAGTGTCCACAAAATGAATTACGGTTCTCTTTATTTCTAAGGGATTAAGACATTGAGTTGTCAGGGAACTGCGCATGGCAAAAACTACATACTTGACACAATTGATGGCAGAATCTGAAGAAAAAAGCACTACTCCCTGGAAACATCTTAACAGTCTTACTTAACTAATAATTAAATTATTCAAATTAAATAATTCAAAGGCAAAGGATTGGTTTGGGTTGGATATTGCTGTAATTAACAGCTCACACAGCTCCACTCTGTTCAAACCCATCTGATAAACATCTCCATCAGAGTTGGTAAATTTCCACAAACCTGGAAAACACCAGTCATAATGCCAATTAACAACCAAGTAAGCAATTAAAGGCCAATCTCTATCCTACCAGTTCTCTCAAAGATCCTGGAAAGAATTATCACAGAACAATTGGTTGACCACCTTCAAAATAATTTACTTTTTATTTAGACCAGGGTATTCAACTGAAATGGCCAACTGCTACCTCACCAAAAACATTAAGTCCTCATTAGACAAGGGTAATGTAGTTGGAGCAGTGTTTCTGAGCAAGCAATTGGCTGGTTTGCATCCTGTCTCGAATCAAAACAGCAGTTCGTTTAAAATCAATGCAGAATATTCAACCCGCCACCAATCTACCATGGGAATTCCACAAGGCTCGATTTTGTAAAAGAGCTGGATGTCAGATGTATGTTGATGACACACTTATCTATGTATCAGCTAAAACCCCTTGTGCAGCAGCAGACAGATTAACAAGTGAAATGAAGGGTGTGTCTCTAGACTGTGTCAATGTTTTTTTCCATGAGAAGAAATTCAAAACATAAGCTTTTAATTTAAATAAATCAAGAGGAAATGGAGAAAGTCAAGGATTTCTAAATTCTTAGGTGTCAGTTTGGACCCCAAACTTAAATTTGATAAGCACGTTAAACTACACAACTGTAAACTGTTTTAGAATGATTAGACATTACATACCCCTCAAGGCAGCTCAAGTGTTACGGCACAGAGCTAACCATCAGACATACTGATAACCACACAAATACACATAATTCCCATACCTCGCACGATTAATTTAGGCAGGCCACACCAGCTGAGCATCCTGCCTATTTGGCTATATATGTGCCTTACCTGTTTTAAAAACGTAATTGCTTGAGGCACAAATCAAGATTTTGATCTGTCTTTGGTAAATAGAGGGAGGCAATATCAGACTATCTTACAGACTTTTTCTGTGCCTCAGTAGCACCAGCAAATGTTGGAAAGGCCAGAGCACTTCATTGAAAAACTTTATTGTAAATGGACATGTACATATGGATAGAGAAATAGACAGAGAGAGATATAATATAGCTCGTTCCACCATCGTGGTGTCACAGATGAGAATAGCCGGGACTGGGATTGCTTTGTGTGAAGGGATGGCAGAGCCAGGCGGCATTCGTTGGAGGAGCGTAGCGGCCGAGAAGTCATGAAGCATGTGTGGTGTTTTCTTGTCCTCGTCATATAAATATGTTGGTCTTAGGGAGGCAGACCCAGTCGCTTCCTGTTCTACCTCCTTCCTGAGAAACATGTCAAATGATTCAGCTGATTGAATCCACCTGATCATGACAATGACAACATTGATGATTTCTTTGATGATATCTCTGTTCTACAAAAACAGCTGAAGCTCATTTAGTTTGTCTACTAATGATGTGTCTGCTTAAACAGTAAGATGAGAGCATTCATTGATGAACTGACAGTTTGGTATAAACTTAATGTGACCATGGGACGGCCAAAGAGGGAACTATAATGGAAACAAATAGATTTTACCTGTCTGTACTTTTATTAATCCTCTATATGTCATTACCTTATGTTCTTTGTTCATCTTATGTGATGTTATAATTCCCACTAAATGTACCAGTGTTTTGATATAATGACCTTCTGTGAGATTGTTTTGTTTCATGCTTTCCTGTGAGAAAGGAGTTTCCACTGTGGTTCAAGGCTGAGAAAGGCTTTTCTGTTAGACTCCACAATTATTCTCTAGCATTAAATGTCTTCTCTGTTTCTCTGGGTCAGACTCTCTAACAGCCCTCTGGTGAATGAGCTCTGCCCTTCAGCTGAATCACTCTGTTATTCTTACTTTTAATAAATATCACAAAGACAACTATTGGTTGCAGAGTCTTTATTTCTTCAGAGGGAAATGTACCATTTCCACCACAAATCAGTTGGCTCAAGGCTGCAGTATCAACGAGCATCGGTCTGCTGTCAATATTGGAGACATTTATCTCTGATAATAGCGCTCACATCTGTGTCCGCCTGCACTGGAGGAACAGGATGTTTAACCAGCTTTAAGTACCTGCTGTAATCAGCTGTTCCGCTTGTTTTGGAGAGGAGGAGACCGACTCTGGCTCTGTGTAAAAAAAAAAACTTCCTGACTGATGAAAACTTAAAACAACAACTTCGGACCCAGTAGGCCTATTTAGCGTAACTCCATCAGCTGTTTAATGCCGACATACGATCTCAGGTGGACATTGGCGGAGAACAAACTGGGTAAAACCATCAAGTTCCTAAAATAACTCCAGCACAGAGAAAGCAACACAAAAATAAAATCACACAAGTTTGTAATGTTATTAAAACATTTCCAGCGACAAAAGCATTATTACCTGCTGTAATCAGCTGTTCCACTTGTGTTAGAGAGGAGGAGACCGACTGCGGCACAGAACTACATTTAGACCCTGGTCCCTCTGGTGGAAAACAGTGAGTTCCTCCAAAGGTTTAGTTCCGGGCTACAGTTCCTTTGCTCGGAACGCAGCTTAACAGAGATTCCAGAGGTTTTGTTGAAGAGTCAGACTGTGTTTGAGCGCCACCTGCTGCTCATTAAGCAGACAGACCAATAAAGATGAAGAATAAAGAGAACAGAGTGCTGCTGTTCCTCCATCTTCTGCTCTTTCCTTCATTGTTTTACTCTCTCTGGATGCTGCTGTGCTCTGACAGGAAATCACTGACGTTTAGTGGCTGAACGAGCAGCTTTGATTTGTTATTGAACTTTCTAATGTGTCTGTTAGCTCACATGTCTTTGACCTTTACACCTCAGCTCATGTCAGCGTTGATGTTTCCTCCCTTACTGTAACGTACAGAAGCTGATGTGCTTCCTGCAGTAGTTTGGTTTGTATCTGCTGTAAGCTGCAGTTAATAATTAGATCTGTTCTGGCTCTATTATTACTGAGGGATTCTCTGTTGTTTGACCCTTATGGCCCAGAAAAGGTAAGAATTAACTAAATAAAAGCTCCTGTGGTGAGTCAACATTTTTAAGGTACAGAGATACTTTTTATACCAAAACTAAGATTAAAAAAAAAAAAGACAGTAAGTTACTTCAAATCTCATCATTGTGACTCAGCGAGTGTTGATTTTTTTAACATTAAAGATATTAATATGAAGTTTCTGTAATTTTAATGACTCATTAATGTAAAAGCAGGATTTTACTGCTGTAGTTGTTGAGCTGGAACTCATTTTGTTGTTGATTGTCTTCATTAGAGATTTTCAGCAGTAGAGTCTGGTGTGGAGGATTTATGTCGTGTAAAAGAAAACTTAGAAGAATAATTGTATAAACTGTTGGGAGTTTATCTCATGACAAACATTATATTTTAAACACTAAATGTGAACTCGTATTTGTTTGTTTGTAAAAGACCTAATTTGTAAAGTAACTAAAACTGTCAGATAAATGTAGTGAAGTAAAAGTTCAATATTCCCTCTGAGATGTGGAGCAGAAGTAGAAAGTAAAGTACAAGTACCTGAGTGTTGTACTTGAGTACAGCAGTGTAGTAAATGTAGCTGTTGTGTTAATGTGAATGTTTTGTGAGGAGCTCTCCAGTTTGTCCTGAGGGACGAACAGACTGACAGTGACAGGAAGCAGCCAGCAGGAGGCAGCAGAGGAGCTTCAGTTTGTTCAACAGATGATAGTTTTCACTTTAAAGTCACTGGAGGAGCAAACTGTGTGCAGAGGGTTTGTATCCTGTTACCTTTAATAGAAACAACCAGTCCTCCTATAATGGAAGATCAGCAGCCCAGTAAGTTTGTTGTTATTCACAGATTTTAACAGCACAAACATTTTACATTTCATATTAATGACTCTGAAGCTGAAGAAACAAACACTCGTCTGACAGCATCTCATATTTATTGTGTTCAACTTGTTCCAGCTCTTCAGTGAAGTTCGGCTATATGATGTCATCACTGAGTGAGAGATTCAAACCAGATCCTCCATGTTTTTATGGCTGCACCGTTCCATCAAATGGAAATATTCGCCTGCTGCTTTTCAGTAACTAACATAACTTATTTGTGTGACTTTACCCAGGAGGCTCAGCAATGTGAGCACAGCTAAATGTACTGGATGATAACAAAACTGTTGTGAGCTGGACTGAATAGTTGGATGATACTGGTTATCCAGGACAGCCATTGTTAGTCTCACTGAGACCAGGTCAACCCAGAGACCCAGACTCAGTTAGACCTGCTTCAGGATTCAGGCCCCAGATGTGAGGGAGCAATAAAGATGGAGAGAAATGTTGCAGATCAGAACCGTGGTTTGTTTGTGAAGTGTGACAGCAGACTGAGATTAGAAAATGAAGAAGAAGACAGACATTTGGAGCTCAGCTCCCATAAAGGATCCGAGATGAAGCTGGAACAACAAGAGGAAGCAAAGAGAATTCTTTTGGCTGAAGAAGAGGAAGCAGACAGAGTGACAGAGTTTTTGGATTCATTTCTGATTTGGATTCCACACATGGAATCATTTTCATTTGCTGAATCATGATTGAATAGAGAGCCGACCTGGACAAACACACGATGGCCCGTTAAGTGAACAAACAGCTTCACTGTGATGTTAATGATGTGTTTGGACTCTCTTAGCTGCCGAGAGAAGCAGCAGATGTTTGTGAACAAACTGTCTGTTTCATCTGATTTCACCATTTAAACAGTAACCGTAATATAGCTACTCCTTTGTGGCCCGGGGAGAAAGTCCTTTAGAAACTTTGTGAAACGCTGTCTACGACTAATTCTTAATGATTCTGCCTTCCTGTAAATTCAACATTAAATGTGACACATGAAGTTATTTCTGTCTTTGTTGTACAAAAAGCTTCAGCAGGATATTTTCATGAGCCTCTGATGTGATAATAACAAGCGCTTCATTAAAACTCTGCTCTGTGTGAAGCACACTCCCTCATACACATCAAATATGATCAGCTGGTTTCAGGAAACCAACTAACTAAACTTCATCTTCTGCCTGAAATCAAGGAGCCGTGTTTCTAAACGGCCTTAGCGACAGTAACTAAGGGGCGGGGCGAGACGCCGTGACATCGCGAGAACACTCCGCGGGATCCCGCAGCGCTCCTGTATCTCAGCCTGAAGAGCTCCGAGACCAGAATCCAGACAACACGGTCCACCAGTCACAGCGGAGACCTGCAGGACGATGGAGAACCAGAACCCGGACCACAGGAGCCAAACAGCAGCCTCGTGCTCTGATAGCACCGATGTTCAGGTCAGTGTTCATGACTTCATCACGAGACTAAAGACACGAGGAAGAGTCTCGAGGGTCCGTGTATCATCCGTTCATTCTGTTGTTAGAGATCAGAGCCTGAAAACCCGCTCCAGGGTTTGTGTTGACGTGGTTTGATTTCCAAAGTGTCTCCGTGGTTCCTGTTTTCATCTTGAAGAGAGGAAGCTGAAAGAAAAACTCACGAGCGTTTCTCTTTTCTTTATCTGTGACCGTCGGCATTTTCCCGCGTGGCGCATGCGCGGTGCTGCACGTTTCATGGCGGAGCGCGCAGAACAATCGATGATCCGTCTGATTGATCTGTGAGGAGGATTTCTTGTTAACTTCACTGCTGCTTGTTTTGGGATTGGCTGCTTGAATCGTAGTAATAGTCCTAAATATGTCTAGTGAGTATACATAAGCACCACTGCACTCACTAATACATACAGTATGCATGTACATGTTGTGTTATCAACACTGCAAAGACTTGAACAGCCAGCGAAAGTTACAGGTGGGAAAGGGCGTCACTTTGTGTTGACAAGTAGCGGGGACACTTAAGGGCTCAGATTAGATGCGACAATCCAGAATATTGGGGTCACGAGAGCAGCTAGACTAGAAGATATTTTGATGCTATTTAAATAATAGCAAAATAAATGATTGGGGGGTCTCGAGGTCGTCCCCCAGAAGATTTTGAGCATTAAACACTTAATTTCCTGCATTCTGGAGACATTTCTGAACCAATTTATGGTGGAAATGTATATATATATATATATATATAAAGGGGAACACAAAATTCAGGTGGCAGGTGACAATTCAGAATATAAAAATATAATGGAATATAATGCAGTATTCAGTAAATTGTTTTTTTAGCTTATGTAATTTTTTGGGATAATGCAGATCTGTTTTTCTGTATTTACTTTGCATTGCATGTTTTTTTTTTTTGTTTTTTTTTTATTGTGCCAAAAAAAACATTGTCATTTTACTCACATTTGTTATTTAACATTTCTTGTTACAAGCTAATAACATTTGGGAGAAAAAAACGGAAAAAGTTTTGGGGACGGCCCCAGTGTAAATGAGACCTATGCAGGTGGGGGGAATAGACTGATTTTCTAATGTTTAGTGTTACTCACCATCTAACTCAGCTCCATTTCGGAGCTTCATGTTTTCTGCAGTGGTGCCTTGCCCCTGAAATGATGTGTCATATTGATGTTGGATGATGGTGTCTGTGTAAAAGAAAGGTGTGTGTGCACGCGTGTGTCCAACTTCATCTGCAAAGTCTTTTCTCTTTGAAGGCCACACTCTGCATTATGAACTAATTCAGGAATGAAAACGATGAGCAGCAAGAACCAAAACAAAATTGCGACATTGTTTTTGTTCAGGTTGTTTATGCAGGTGCACTGCAGCCATGGAAGCCATGTTGGTCAATCAGAGCCTAATAATATTGTAAACAAAGCAGGCAGTGGCCCACAATCTGACATCAAACACAGCAGATAATGGTGCACGCACTTTACGTCGTGAGGCAAAATCTCTGGTTTTACTGTCAACAAAACAACACTGCAACCAGCATTTCTTAAAACCTTCTCCCTGGCAGGGGTTTTCAAAATGTTTGGATTTCAGTGACCTGATACTACGTTTCCATGTGTACGGTAATTCTTCGTGGCATATTTTCAACAAGGTGTTGGACACATTCCTATGAGACTTTAGTCCGTATTGACATGATAGCATCATGTAGTAGTTGCTGCAGATTTGTCAGCTGCACATTCATGATGTGAATCTCCCCTTCCACCACATCCCAAAGGTGCTCTATTGGATTGAGATCTGATTCACAACATGGCATCATCATTGTCTTAAAGCTCTGAGACTGTTTTGAAGCAGGTGAGGCAAATATATTGGGAGTAGTACATAACCGTGTAAAATGTAATACTTCCTGTTGCCAGTGGGTGGTGCTATTGCATTGTTTGTTAGCACATGGATGTGTTCGGGGTGGGACTTTCACCCTACATGTAAAGTTTGGTGAGTGTGTATACTGAAGTTAGGGATGGGGATAGTTAATTTTAATTGATATTGATTCCCTTATTGAGACTGTTTTACGATCCGATTCTTTATCGATACTTCACTTTTATTCAGTGATGGTTATTTGGTAAGACCAGACCCAACAGGCCTGAGGTAGACCTGCATGGTCTGAGGAAAATATTCAGTGTGCGATATATTGAGATGACATATCACTTGTGATAAATAAACATATATTGAAGTGTAGAAATTAACTGTCTGGTTGTTTTAATATTTTAAATACAGCTAAATGTTTGTAGAGCAGCAACATTAATGTTTATAACTGCAAAGTAACTCAATAACTTGATCTGACATCACAAGTAGTGAGTGATGTTTAGAAAGAATAACATCAGTCCCTCCTCGTCTCTCGCTGGCTGCAGGTAACGTACCTAGAAGGTAGAAGGAGGAGCGGCTGGTTTGTCTCAGCCAGCAGCTGAGTTTTTAAGACTACAGACCTGTCTGTGCTCCAGACAGACAGCTTTGTATTTAGCTTGTTTTTAACATTTGGCTAATGCCAAGCTAGCGTTAGCTGTGCTTGCAAAATATGCAAGATGAGTGATGATGATTAAATTACCCATTTATATATGTTTAACGTTACCTTACCGACGGGTATATTGAAAATATTGTTTTTACTTGCAAAGGTTTTATTGCTTGAGACATAATGTTACATGATAAGACCAGCAAGTCTCGAAAGCAGTATCGATAACCTCGAACCTTATTGATTTTTTTGGTTGTAAGAAATTTTGGAACCGAGTCTCGAGCCCCATCCCTAACTGAAGTTATAATAACTTTCTGTTTCATGGCAAATCATTGATTTTGGCTGACGAAATGCCACGGACACTCCCACTGATGAAAACTTGAAGTTGATCGGATTAATTCTGTAGCAAACTACTTAGTCAAGAAATGGTGAATATTAATATTCAGAAAGGTCTCAGCCCTTGGGTAGGGTTTTAATGACACAATTATTAAATGGTGACCAGTTAGTTAATTGCTCATCATTTTG